CAAAACCCTAGAACCCATACTGACTTTGATTTGTTCCTCTTTAAGGGATGAAATATTTCAAACACATAGAAAAAAGCAGAGAAGAACATATTCAACATTCTTCACATAGAATGTTGCCCTATTTTAGTAAAAGCCTTTTAGCCTGAATTTGAGAACCCGGTATACCACTCTACTGATCCTATTTTCTTTCTTCCTCCTCAGAGTTAACATCCTTCTCAGTTTACTGCTCATCATTTCCTGACATGTTTTCCTGCTTTGACATAATATTCAATTATCCCTAAATGTATATACAATGTTTTCATGATTTTTAACTTTTGCTGTTTGTAGTTTTCGTCTCTATATTTCACGTAATATTGAAATTCTGTGTAACAAAGAATATAAAAATATTCCGATAATGTCACCAATTTTTTCTAATGACATAGAAATCACATCACTTTTATTTCCCGGGTTGAGTTACTAAGTAGTTAGGATATGAGATCCCAAAATGTGATATTTCCAGAAAGTGAATATGCACATCGACATTTTAAAGATAGATGGAGAAGTCCATGAAGCAGCCAGAAGAAACAGAACAGAAGAAATATTAAGGATCATCAAAGTGTTGAAGTGGTTAACAGTGTCAACAGTGACAGGCACTGTTTTAGGAGGTATTATGGGAATGATCAGTTTTCATGTAGGAAGGAATGAGGGGAATTGAAGAATTTATTTTACCACAAGACAGAAAAGCATTCAATCTTTTTCTCTGCCCACAGTCCCTAACGCATATAATAAAATTCTTTCACTTAGAGAAACTTATGTGACAGTGCCCAGAATAAAAGAATTTCAGACTTTATAAATAAACTACACACAAATAGTCTCTGTGAAATAGTTCAGAGTACAGTTTCTTCTTATCTGTTAATATTTCCACCTATAAGAATATCACTTCAAAAAGCATCGCTTATCAAAACTAAACCCTGCACAAATCCTTACCCACTATGTTTTGTTGCCTTCTCCAAAAGAAACTTGAGAGTTGGGGTTTGGATTCAGTTGGAATTCCATCATCAGCACTTCACTGGGCAACATTGGGCATGTTATTTAACCACTATGAGCTTCAGCTTCCTCTCTCTTAAGTGGAAATAATAGGTTTGTTTTGAGGATAAGTCAGTTAATACATGCAGTAAGTGCTTAATGGATTGCAGTCATGCTAAGGCTCTAGTAGATATTTTAAAATGCCGTTGCTTTTCTTTTTGGTACCTCTTCCTCTCTATATCTGTATCCAACTCTTTTATGTTTGTGAGTACATTGTAACTTATGGCTTTGGTTTGCATGTACTTATTTGTAACTGCTATTCATATAAACAGTGTGATTGTCTCCTTGGTAAAGTCGAGCTCCTGCCCTCCTCAGAACTTTTTTTTTTTTACTCTCAGCACTTGTATGGCATCTCACTTTTAGTATGTGACAAATTAGACTGAAAAACAAAATCATGATAATCTTGACAGATGAAGAAAATGTATATGATGAAATTCAACATTCATGATTTAAGAAAAACACATACTCTTAGCAAACTAGGTTAGAACAGAACCTTGATAATCTGAAAAAGAAAATCTACAAAAAACCCAAAACAACAGAACATCAGCAAATGTCATACTTTGTGATAAAAATGAAATTATTCCCTGTGAAATGGGAAAAAAGGCAAAGATGTTATCTTTCCTAAGCAGAATTTTGCTCAAGTTCATAGTTAAATAGTCAATATAATAAGGCAACAAAAAAGACATTAAAAGTATAAAATTTGGAAATAAAGAAACAAAAGTAAACTTCTAGTATGTGCAGTCAGTATGATTACCTGTAAAAATTAAAATAATTCAGAGATAAATCATAAGAATTAGAGTGTTCTGCAAGATTGCTGTGTACAAAATTGTTTAAAGGCCAGTTCATTTCCCTATATTGAAAACAGTTAGAAAATAAAATTTAATAAATGCTTTTATTATAACATCACAACGTAATATGCCTAGGAATAAATCTAACTAAAGTTGTGCTAGGCCTCTATCCAGAAAGCCACAAACATTAAGAGAAATTAAAGAAAACTTAAACCTAAGTTGTGTGTAATAAAATATGATGGATTAGAATACTGTCTTATATTAATTCTCCATGAAATGATGCAATTAAAACTCTTATAGGCTTATATCTTTTGTATTTTGACATGCTAATTCTAAAATGTGTAAAGAAATTCAGAAGAATTAAGATAGCCAAGATCTCCTTAAAGAAGAAATGCAAGATAAAGACTTATTTAGCAGATATCAAAACGTATTATAAAGCTACAGCAATTAAGATAGTGTGGTACTGTGACATGAATAGGCAAATATATCAATGTATATTGGAAACATGCCAGAAAAACCAGAAATCATCTGCTGCCTATGAGAACAGCTGACACTGCAAAATAAAGCTTCTCAGTTCTGGCTGGACTCCACCTTGCGCTGGAGTATTCTGATTGTTTAGGGGCTTGGGGGACCAGGAGCAGCAGTGTTGGGATGTGCTACACCTACTTCTGCTCGGTGTGGCTGCTTTGCTCCCATTACATTTCAGTGCCTTTGTCTAGAAAATTAATCTATAGCTCACTGAAATTCCAAGATTCCCTAGGAGAGAAGGGGAACCAGAGAATGTCAGGTTTAGATACGATAGTGCACGGCAGGAGGCTGCTGGCTCTTTGAGGTCAATTTTTGTGAGCAAGTCATATCAGTTGACTTTGTCTACTAAACCCCTGAATTCAACTGGTAGGACTTTGGGGATAAATAAGAACAATTGCTACATGGAACAGATAGATCCCTCCAGCTCCCAATTCTGGTGGCCTAAGGCTGTGAGCATAAACCAGCCAAGCTTGAAAGGATTATTAAAATCTCCAAAGGAAGCTAGAGCAGCAAGGGAGGAAAGACTGGGGTTCAAGTGTCACAGCAGAAGTCCCATCTCTGGGAGCCTGAGATGATAACATTAGGAAGGAAGATCTGAGTCTCTCTCAAGTACCTGGTGAACTGGCATTTGGTGACTTTTCAATCAGAGAGTAATAAAAGCTGGAATTATTGATGCAGGAAGATGTAAGTGGAGGTTTCAGTCCCCCTAACCCAACTCTCTGTGTAGAAGGGGCTAGACGTCCAGAGGCTGACTACAAGGCAAAACGGAGGTTTTAATGCTGGTGTTATTTCTTTTACTTCAAGAACCTTGTTTATACCTGGAAGTTGATCCTTTTATTCTTCCCAACAACTCTTCTGCTTTTTGAAAATGAGCTGGACGAAGCTCTAAACTAGTTTCTATAAAAGTATTTTGAACTGTTTGACATTTTAAAAAAATGTGTTCAGATGATAAAGTCTCAAATAGTTTCCTATTTGGAAAAGATACTCGCAAAGTAGATTAGGGATACTTAATGAAGACATGGATCATTTACTAGTAAAGTTCAAATATTTTTGATAATAATTTTTAAAAGGAAAACATTGCATTGCTGGGTAAAGACTGAGGAAAAGCATAGAGAGAAATATGACAAAAATAGATTTTTTAAAAGTTTTTCATTAAATGAAAAGTATGATAATGGTTTCAGGAATAGCTGAATCCAGATACTCTCACAATATGACCAGAAAGTGTTCTATATTCATCTGTCATCTCTGAATTTCTTTTCACTATTTTTATTCTCTGAAAGACTCTTACCGCTTGGTGATAAAAATGCAGCCATAAAAACAATGAGGTCATGTCCTTTGCAGGGACAGGGATGAAGCTGGAAACCATCATTCTCAGCAAATTAAAACAAGAACAGAAAACCAAACACTGCATGTTCTCATTCATAAGTGGGAGTCAAACAATGAGAACACATGGACACAGGGAGGGGAACATCACACAGCGGGGCCTATCGGGGGATGGGGGGCTAGGGGAGGTATAGCATTAGGAGAAATACCTAATGTAGATGACGGGTTGATGGGTGCAGCAAACCACCATGGCAAGTGTATACCTGTGTAACAAACCTGCACGTTCTGCACAAGTATCTCAGAATTTAAAGTATATATATATAGAGAGAGAACCTGAACAACTTGTCTTCATTTTCCCACCTTCACAACTCCAGTGAAAAGAGTGCATGCCTGAGTCATGTAGATAAAAAATGTGAAGGGGGATTTTCCCTAAGCGATACTGTGCTGATAAACATATTTGTCTACTGCAAAATAGTTATTCATTAAATGGAGCTACTATAAGCATCTATCTCAGAAAGCATTTGCCATGCTTGTAAACTTCATCAGTCTTACCAGCATACCTTCTTCACTCTGGGAAGATACTTGGGTTGTCTTCACTCCTGACATTTACCTCAGTTTTAGATCTTCACAATTTTAGGTGGGTAGAGGTCACTGAAAGCCGTGGTGTACCATGTTTTCTTTTCTAGGGATCTTTTTTGTGGTTTTAAAACCAGTGTTATTTTTCAAGTTGCTCTTTTCCTATTTAATAAAGTACTTAATTTATGTGAATTTTAAAGATGTGGCCCATAATTATTTGGTCCATAGCTTTGGCCAAGTCTGTCCTCAAAAGAATGCTTGATGAGATACTTTAATTTCAAAAGTAAACTTGCCCACCACTAATTCATTCAACAGCCATTTACTAAATGCTTGATAATTACTGTAACTGTTTAAGCACAGAGTCCATTCATTAACAGCTTAGGATCGCTGTCCACAAAATCCCAAAGTAGTGAATCTATTTCCCCAACTTAAGATCTATTCCCTCCTTCCCTAATGGAAGCTTAGACTTCTCTCTAAGAAATTTAAATTTTGTCCCCAAAATCTTGATATTTCATCTTAACCAAAGTTATATTTGAAGGCAAGAATCAGTAAGTAGGGTCTGATACAAACAGCACCATTTATAACAAACAGAAAACAAGACACCTGCCAGCTTTGAGTCTTGTTTTGATAAATTGAGCATGCACCCAAACTCTCATCCCTATGTAAGATTTCTGCAACTTAATTAAAATAGTAAGTATTACAAACTCCTTAAAGCTACCTTATATATCAGAAACCCTAACTGAAGTGGTCCTATAAGGCTCTGTGGTAATTCTATATTCTTCAAAAAACCTATAATAAAATATATACATAGATAAGTAATAAATAGATTTTTTTTCTTCTGTTATCCCTGTTTTTCAGGAAGAAGCAAAATGCAACCTAATGAATTGGAGACAATTGGTGGCGGTTTATAATAATTTAGTCCAAAGGTATGTTGGAGTTTGTAGAAAATGGCATGGAATTCTTTCCTTTTGTTCCTGTCTAGGCTCTTGGTGGCTGTCAACGTTCTTAGTCATCTTCACGGCAAGAAACCTGCAGACAACTAGAAGAATGCAAGTTACAGTATCTAAAGCATACAAATAGTAAATACAAACTATTGTTTGTATTTGTAAATACAAACACAGTCAAAGTAAATACAAACACAGTATAGTTACAGTAAATACAAACTCAAAGACTGTGGCAAACTCTGGCATTTCTGAAAAAGACACATCCATGTGCCATGCTTGGCAGAGGGCATATGAGTGACAATCCAGGCTGGCCACTAAGTGAGCCACCATCTCTCTCTGGTCTTGTTTTAGGGGCCAGATTTCCTTTGAGGACTCTGGGTAAGCTCTTGGCCTTGCCTGCCTGGCTGACCTGGAAACCTACACCATGAATCAAAGGAACTGGTAGGTGATGAGATAAGGTTCAGACTTTTGGCTCTCTAGATATGATCTCTCCACTTCATTCCAGAAAACAGGCAAAGAACTCATCCTCTTTGCAAAATTAGGAGAAATACTTAATGTAGATGATGGCTTGATGGGTGCAGCAAACCACCATGGCAAGTGTATGCCCATGTAACGAACCTGCATGTTCTGCACGTATATCTCAGAATTTAAAGTATATATGTGTGTGTGTATATATATATATATATATATATATATATAATTAAAAAATATATATATATAAAAAAAATATATATATATATATATATATATATATATAAAAAATATATATATATATATATATATATATATATAATGAGCCTGAACAACTTAAATCTTCATTTTCCTACCTTTGCAACTCCAGTGAAAAGAGGGCATGCCTGAGTCATGAGAGAAGGTTTTCCAAGGAAACACAAAATCCAGATTCAGCTTAGATTCAGAAAGTCACTGCACCAAAGAGTCCATGAGCAACACCCCACAGAATCAGGGGAAGCAGTTCTGGGCCAACCAAGGTAGCATTTTCTAAGGAAAATGGCCTGCCTTCCTTTTACCTACTTGTGTTTGCAGCTCTGAGCTCAAGAGCGAACTGATGATCCCGGACTAGAGATATAGAGAGCCATTCCTATTCATTGTGGACATCTAAGACAGTAGATATCAGAATGGAAAGCTATTCAGAGATTTCACCACATCTTTGTATGCAAAGCACTTTTAATGACAAAATACTGGGGAGAATTTGAGGAGTGAAACCAACTAACTTACTAATGCATTTTTAAATCCCTCTTTCATTCACATTCACTTGTACAGTATGATAAATTCAAGCAGACACGCCTGAAATTTCTTAGCATAATTATTAAACAAGTGGTTTTGCGATTACATCACTATTCCTGATGGCCCCCAGTCTAAACCTTTCTTTTTATATTATACTCCATTGTTATTTATTCTTTCTATTATGTGACTTGCCTTTTCCTCCAAATAAAACAAACTTTAGCTTATGGCTTTGACATCTATTCAAACACTAGGTCTCCTTCAGGTATTAATATGATTACTGTTTTTTGTTAAGATGTGAACTTTAGTATCCTATCAGCTGGTTATTGAAAAGAATAATCAAAGACGGGGCCCAAAATAACCCCAACCAACTTCCCCAATTTGCAGACTGACAACTAAATCTGGCCTGCAAATATTTTGTTTGGCTGCTCCAGTTATTTTTGTTTTGTTTTGTCTTGGTTTTGTAATTGAAGTTAAATGACTTCTGGCAGAAGATCCTTTCTCAAATTTCACAGGCCCATCACTCTCTGTTGCCTTATACCCCACCCTGGTTCCAACATTTTTGTAGCCTTCACGAAACTTATAGGCATTTGGGTTTGTGATGCCTCTCAGGTAGGTGGATCACCTGAGGTCAGGAGTTCAAGATCAGCCTGTCCAACATGGTAAAGCCCCTTCCCTACTAAAAATACAAAGTTAGTCAGGCATAGTGGTGTGTGCCTGTAGTCCCAGCTACGAGAAAGGCTGCAGCAGGAGAGTCACTTGAATCCAGGAGGCAGAGATTACAGTGAGCCAAGATCGTGCCACTGCACTTCGGCCTGGGTGACAAAGTGAGACTCTGTCTCAATAAAAAAAAAAAAAAAAAGAAGAAGAAGAAAAGAAAAAGAAAAAAGAAAATCCTAACAAATAGAGCCAGGGAAAGTCATGAAGAGAGGCTTCCCACATTTGTTTGCCTGATAACAAAAAAGACTCTAGAAAAACCACAGACTTGAATAAAGGCCATTTGCAATCTTATACAAAAAATACACAAGTACCTCTGCGTAGCAACTGCCTGTCCAGCCCTGGACTGGCATCACCCTCCTTATTGCTCTTTCTAGGCAAAGATAATTATTTTAAAACAATTATGTAATCCTCCTCATTTTTTCCTTTAAAACTCTTTTTCTTTCTTTACGTACCTGAATGTGCACATAGTTTGCATATTCCTATTGCAGTGTCCTATTTCCAAATAAACATCTTTTCTTTTAGAAACTCCTTTTTGTTATTTAGGCTGACCAGTTGATGGAATCATTCCAATCAAACCAAACACAATCTTCTCTCAATTTGCAGTTATTCTTGGAAGACTCAATGTATGCTTAGACTATACAACAATATTTTGTGTTTATTTATAAAAGAATTTGGGCTCTAGGCTCAGAAAATACAGGTAGAGTTTATTAATTGATGTAAATATCTGGGAGATAACTTGGAAGTTGTGCAGTCTGTAGCATCATTATTTGATTACAAGACGCATTATATCCCTGGCCTTTCTCACTGAATCTCAGTAGCATTTTCTAGTCATTGTGACCAAGGGGAAAAAGCTTCCTAAAATGTTTGCAATGTCCCTGAGTGGCTTTACCATTCCCATTGAAGTATAACTTTTGTGATGAGAATTTATGTGGCAGATTACCCTCATTTTTTCATTGCCAAAAGCTGATCTTTCTTTAACTCCTCTATATTCAGTATCCTTTGGCATCCACTACTTGGTTCCAGTTTGACTTTTGTCCTAGAAAATATTGTGACTTCCCAGGGACTGCCATAACAGCGGCTTCCTCCAGAATATAGTCCATTCTGACTAAGTAACAGGGTTTGCTTGCTGCTGCTTCAGGGTTGCTAGTATAAAGTCTCTTCCCAACCTGCATTTCGGTCCCTCAAAGAACCTCTATGTATGCTTCCTCTAAACTTCTTTTTGGGCTTTCCTAGATTGACTTCCAGTATACCTTGGGCTCTTTCATTGCAGCAGATAGTCCCCTCCCTAGAGACCCTGGGTGATTTACAGATCCAATATTGGCATCAGGGCTGGAGTGTAGAATCAACAGCGTCCTGATTGGGTTTGATGCTTAATTTGGTACTCATATTATAATATGAGTACTCATATTTTAAGAACATTACCATGGACCATATGTCAATTTCAACTTCCTTCACCCATGCTTTAACCTGGTTACTACTTGTGCCTCTTTCAGCCCTTAACTACCTCCTTTCTCAGGCCAATGTGGTACTGTGTACCAATTACAAAGCTGGCGTTCTCTAGGCTAGTAGCAAATTCTAGGATGATGATAACCCACCAAATTACAGGGACTACAGTTTCCAGTACCATAGCTATCTGGGATTTTCCCCACTGTGGGTCCCTGCCACTAATGAATTCAACATGTGCTTGATACCAGTTGATTCCCTGACACCCTCAGCTCAAGGACTTGTAGCACCACTTGTATTGGGACAGGTTCCCTCTTGCATGCCCACCTACCCAGATCATACACCAACTCTCTCTGACCTTTTCCTTGACATGAGTTGCTGCTTTTCTATCAAGCTAGACATGAGGCCATCATTGTCAGCAATTTGACCAGTGGCTCTTTACTGTAAGAGCTATCCAGGTACTCACCTGACCTCATGAAATTCTTCTCTGGGGGAATAAACAGCTATTCCCCATGAACCCAGAGATTCTCATAGCCAAATAAACCATGTCTCTAGCTACTCACCAATACATTGCCAAAACCAGAATTAAAAGAAAGCCTAATCTTTGCAGGAGTATGGATTTGTTTTGGTTTTGTTTTTTCTTTTAGTTATACATTTTTCATTCCACTTTCTTTTTTTGCTGTGACCCAGCAGCAATTATCAGAGGGATCTACATAAGCCAATTTCAACATAACTGACAAATGGTCAATAACTTATTGGTCTTTCCATAAATGTAAGTCTGGACTCATAAGACAAGGCAGACCTGAGTGAAGCATCTTTCTGTAAGGATGCCAGTTATCTAGGCAGCTATATCCGATGCCAGATCCTCAATTGCACTTACATCGGCATCACCCTTTTTCATGTGTGTCTCTGCATTTCTCTTAACTGTCCTAATCTTTCTGTATCCTAAGAAAAATACCAAAATCTTGAGTTCAAGTCTTAATCTACCTCCCTACTTGCCAGGGTTGGCACTATTCATCTTCTATCAAGTGGAGACATCCAGACCATGTGTACCGATGCACATGTGAGTGGCCCGTTGAGAAGAGTGGCTTTATTCCAATTCTGGCCACTCCTCTTGTGTGTAGACTGCTTCTAAATTAGTTGTTTGAGGTAAGTAGTACCAACAATGCATTATGAAATGCGAACATGTCTAATGGACTCTGTGGAATATCAGTGTGTGTAAGCTGCATAGACAGTGACTAAAACTTTTCTTTGTAAATGTTTTCCTTATAGTTAGTCACTAAAAATTACAGAGCTTTGGTCACCAAAAATGTATTTCTTATGCATAATCATTGACCAGAAATGTAACCTGATTCTGAATTTGAAACAGGGCATTTTATTCTGGTTTTCTTCATGGGAAGTGGCTGAATTTGGTAGAGTAGAAATAGAAATTTAGGAGTTTAAGAAGAAGAACAAAAGATGCATAATGCACAAAGTACCCATTGAAATGTTCAACACATCAAATTTTATATTTCAAATTTAAAACATCTAAGGAATAGTATAACAGTGGCTTTCAAAAGAACTAACCTGTATCTGAGATAAACTTTTGGTGGCTCAAAACTTTCTAAAATATCTAGGAGGGGATTTGAGATATCTGACTTGAGGCATCTGGTACTTGTCTTCTTCATAAAGAGGAACCAAAATAGTAGGTAGATAATTACAGTCCAAATACATCATCTAAAAGAGAACATTAGAATTCAACAAAAAAGTGACACAAAACATCAAAAGCATGGAAGGGGAGGGGAAGCAAGGTAGCCTGCTTGGCGGAGATGGGCTGGGAGTCCAAAGAGGCTCTCCAATGTGAGGAAGGGGTAAGTGAGAGACCCCTCATAATTTACATTCCCACCATAAACTCCTAACATCCTAGCCCTGGGAGAGTCCCTCAACCATCATGAGCCCTGGGATTAATGTAGGGAGCTGCCTGAAGACCACACAACTGCATTGCTCCAGACAGGGAGCTCACACTGTGTCCTGTACAACTCTTAGTCCTAAGCAGCTCCAGAAAGGCAGCTCCTGAATCTCCACATCCCTGGAGCCCCATTGAAATCCTCTGCTTACAACTACTGCTGTGGCTGGATGCTCTTGCCAGGACTGAAGCATGAGCCATTGGCAGTGACACTTATGCCCCCAGCAATGGATTCACCATGCATTTTCACATGGCCCAGGGACAGAGTCCCTTGCCCACGGCTGCTGGCACCAAAGGGCAAGCCATTCGCAGCCATCCTACTTCCCCTAGCAGCAAAGCCACCACACATTTACAAGCACCCTGAGGGGAGGCTACCTCATGTACAGTGACCACTTGGGGCCAAAGCACACACTCCCCACCTGCATATAGCTGCTGCCACTGGAAGAAATCCACACTTCCCAGTAACAGGACCATAACACAGCCACTGCTGCCCCTACTCTAGCATTCCACAGTGTGTCTGGTGATCACCCCACATGCCTACCACAGCCAAAGCCTGCACATACCATTGGGAGGTCTAAGGACAGGTCTGCCAGCCCAGCCCTAACCACCACTGTAGGGACCTGAGCATTCCTCCTGGGAGCCTGTATTTGGCTCTACCTGAACTGCCATTACCACCACAGCTGGCACCTACCTGCCCCTGCCACCTGCAGGCCTGGGTATTGGTCCACTCAACTGATCAAACTCTGCATCAATCACTTGGGAGACAGGATTGTCCCACACTGTTACTGCCATCGCCCATGCTGCACTCACTGTCATGGAACCTGAGGGCCCAGCTACTCACCTAGCCCACCATTGCCACTGCCCACACCTTAAAAAGCTGCCTGGAGGCCTAAGAATCAGCCTGCATAGACATGCCAACACTGGTGCCAGCGTATGCCACCTTGGAACCCAAGAAAAGATATGCTCAGTGCACTGCTGCCACACCTTGAACTCAAGAACTGTTCTGCCCAACTTGTTGCAGCCACCGCCAACACCAAAGTGGACAGCTTTGGTTCCAGTGGGTTGCTCCACCATTGCTACTGACATAAATCACATCACACCAGCTGCTAAAGGGCTTGAGAACCTGATCACACACCCAGCCCACTGCTACCACTACCAGCATCTGAGAAAGCCACCTGGAGCCCAAGAATCAGCCTGCTTACACCCAATAACACTTGTGCCAGTGTAAACCACACTGGGGCCCAAGGACAAACATGCTCAGTCCACCATTGCCACTACTGAGGCCTGAAAACTGACCCACCTGGAATCTTGGCCTCCAGAACAACTTTATCACAAACTCTACTGCAACCACACCTAATGCCACTGAGGAAATCACAAATACTGCTGATGTTATTCACTGATAAATAAATCATTCAGAATTATTTGGCACCCACAATCAAAGCCAAATTGCCCTCCATGATCAAGACCATAGACGCCCTTCAGGAAAACATTCTGCCCTACAAAAGCAAATTTTAAAAAATCAGAAGGAGTGATTATTATACCACATGGACAGCTATAAATATTAGGACAAAAGGAACATACCTCAAAATAATAAAGCCCAGATAGGGCAAATCTACAGCTAACATCATATTGAATGTAAAAGCTCTCAGAACTGGAACAAGAAAAGGATGTCTAGTTTTACTATGCCTGTTCAACATAATATTGGAAGTCCTAGCCAGAGCAGTCAGTCAAGAATAAATAGACATTCAAATTGGGAAAAAGTAAGTCAAATTGTCCCTCTTTGCAGATGATATTGTTTTATATCTAGAAAAATCTAAAGACTTCACCAAAAAACTATTAGATCTGATATATTCAGAAAATTGCAGGATGTAGAATCAACATACAAAAATTATTAGGGTTTCTACATATGAATAATAAACTAGCTGAGAAAGAAATCAATAAGGCAATCCCATCTATAATAACTAAAAACATTTCTAAGAATGAACTTACCCAAGGAGGTGAAAGTCCTCTGCAAGAAAAACGACAAAACGTTGATGAAAGAAATTGAAGAGGACACAAACAAATGGAAGGATATGCCTGTTCATGGATTAGAAGAATTAATATCATTAAACTAACCACGTTCCTCCAAACAATACAGATTCAAAGCAAGCTTTATCAAAATACTAATGTCATTTTTCACAGACATAGAAAAAAAATCCTTAAATTCACACAGAACTAAGAAAAGCCTTAATAGCCAAAGCAATCTCAAGAAAAAGAAACAACTAGAGTCATCACACTACCTTACTTCAAAATAGGTTACAAAGCTATAGCAAGCAAAACAGCATGGTATCAGTATAATAGCAAATACATAGACCAGTTAAACAGAATAGAGAACCCAGAAATAAATCCATATTTATCAACTGATTTTTGACATAGGCACCAAGAACATGCATTGAAGAAAGGACACCTCTTCGATAAATGGTGCTGGGAAAACTGGATATCCATATGAAAAAGAATTAAACTGGACCCCTATCTCCCACCATATGAAAAAACCAACTCCATATGGATAAAATACTTAAATATAAGACCCCAAACTATAAAACTACTAGAAGAAAAGAAAACATAGGGGAAATGCCAGGTCTAGGCAAAGATTTTATGGCTAAGATCTCAAAAGCATAGGCAACAAAAACAAAAAAAGAGAAATTGGAGTATATCAAAACCAAAAATCTTTTTTACATGAAAGGAATCAATCAACAGAGTGAATACTATTTAGTATTCTGTTATATATGACCTTTTCTTTATCCAATCATCCTTTGATGGACGCAAGTTGATTCAGTATCTTTGCTATTGTGAATAGTACTGCAATAAATATGGGAGTGTAGGTATCCCTTTGATATACTGATTTCTTTTCCTTTGAATAAATATCCAGTAGTTGGATGGCTGGATTGTATAGTAGCCCAATTTTTAGTTTTTTGAAAAAATTTTATATTATTTTCCATAGTGGCTGTACTAATTTGCACTCTCACCAACAGCGTATAAGTTCCCTTTTCTCTGCATCCTTACCAGCAGCATCTGTTATTTATTTTTTTAATAACAGCAGTCCTAATTGGGATAAGAGAATATCTCACGTGGTTTTGATTTGCATTACCCTAATGATTAGTGATGTTGAGCATTTTTCTTATACTTATCGGTCATTTTTGTCTCCTTTTAAGAAAGATCTATTCATGTCTTTTGCCCATTTTTAATCAATTGTTTTGGATATATTTAGTCATACAAAATTAAGTCATGTTATGTGTTGCAACACAGATGCAACCTGAGGTCATCATATTAAGTGATATAAGCCAGGCATAGAAAGAAATATCACATGTTCTCACTTGTATATGGGAACTAAAAAAGTTGATCTCATGGAGGTAGTTATTAGAATAATAGATAGCCGAGGCTAACAAGGGTGTATGTGTTGAGGGCAGATGAAGAGAAAGAGAGGTTGGTTAATAGATACAAATATACAATTTGATAAAAGAAATGTTCTGATGTTTGATAGCAGAATAATGTAACTCTTGTTAACAACAATGCATTGTGTATTTCAAAATAGCTAGAAGGGACTTGAAATGTCCCCAACACATAGAAATGGTAAATACTCCAGGCCATGGATACCCAGAATTCCATGACTTGGTTATTTAACATTCTATGCATGTAACAAACTATCACATGTACCCTATAAATATGTACAAATGTCATGTATCTATTAAAAAATTCTGATCATATAGATTCACTCGCTCAAATGCAGACAATGTTGCAAATGCATCTGTAATGTCACAATTCCAGATCACACACATTTCTTCTCAATGTCTTCTTATATTCCATCATCAATGGCCATCATCAATGGCCAGATCTGATATCTGACAAAACATTGTTTCATGTGACAACAGCCCTTTTTAAGGAGAATTGCAGACTAAAAAAAAATAATAATAATACTGCGTTACTAACAGAAAAGTTTGGCATGGATAGAATAAAATCTGTCATGAAAAGTCGAAGTACTCCTTTTTTAAGGAGCATAAACTCTGGGACATTAGGAAAGACAATTTAAAACATACAAATATTCTACTTCTAATAATTTTGACACATGCTTCCTTAATATAAAGATATATATTCAAAAAATCAACAAAACAAATATATGACAGAAAATTGATTAACAACATACATACTCCATATAACAGAATACTATGTTATCATATTTCTTAATGTAGATCTATACTAAGTGTTTTTTAAAATATTCAAAATAGTATCAAGTGAAAAAATAAGCTATGAGACATACCTGGCTGGTTAAAGTTTTATAAAATATATTCACATGTTTTTATAGTATCTGAATAGAGATACATCAGTATGTAATAGTGGTGATGATCTCTGAATAGTGGGGCTTTAGGTAACACAATGTATTTATTGCTTTACTACTTTGAATTTTTCTGAAACGAATTTGGATTGTTTATATAATAAATATGCTAAGTGCAATAAAAAGGATAATGTTTCCCAGCACCCAAACCCTAGTCACTATGAAATGAAAGTAGGTCCATAAATTTGTAGAGTAACCTTGTGGCCTTTCTACTTTTGTGTAAAGTACCAGCTCCTTTGCTCTGGAAACTCCTGTCCTATATTAAATGCCAGGTGGGTCAGCAGAAAACCCTCGATGGCTTTAGCTTTTACTGTAAGTGAAATGACTTCATTGTAACATGAAGTTTGAATAAAATTTACAGTCTAGATATAGAATGATTACCTCCTCTTTTTTTTTTTTGTTTTAATACAATCTCACTTACATCTGTCTATGGGATTTGAGCTTTTCCTAGTTCCCTCTTTTTATTAAAACATTTTCTCCTCAACATGGACATTTTTTTAAAAAATGCAAGTATACAGATTTTAATTTATTTGTTAGAATAATTTTATATTTTAAAAACAGGACGCATACATGTACGAGTAAACAGTATGGCTGACACAGACCAAGTCCACACTGGTAAGCTTTTGAGAACCATTTACACTATGTTAACAGTAGTACTGGTGCAGACAGACAGAGGAAGAATAAATAGTAGTGCTTCAAGAAGTGTAGTGATTGAGAGGGTCGGTAAAGAGGACACCTCATTGCGGATGCTAGAGCAGAAACAACTCCCCCATAGTGACATGTGCAAAGTTCCAGATCTCCAAGACAAAGATTACCCAACCCATCAGAACAAACAGCCTCCCAATGCAGCTGGTAAGTGCAGGGGTAGAACTCAGCCATAGTAGGCACAGGAATGGGGAGACTGGAGCCAGGGACAAATGCTGAGGAAAGAGTTCCAATGAGCATGTGTGTTCATACATACATACTGCCAACAAAGAGCACTGTGCTGTGTAACACTGCACTGTGTAATCACCACTCACTGGATTCCATGATGGAGAATAAAAAGCCTCTTTTTTTCCTACATATTTATATCGTCTCAATACAGTCAGAATGGGAGCTGTTTCAGAAATAGAAAATCTTCTACGCATGTGTACTTGTTTCCAAGAGAGACCATTTACTTATTTAATGCTTTACAGTGCACTCAGAACTAATCCTCAGAGGTGGGTACATTTAACAGGTAAAATAAATAAAGCATAAGGAGATTTTTGCCCAAACCACTGAGCTAGAAAATGGCAGGTCAGAAAAGACTTGATTGAGCTCCTATCTTCTGATTTCAAATTAAATTCTTTATACTGTACAGCAATGATCAATCAAGCATATACTTCATAGAAAGCAATCCAAAACCGCTGGTTACAAGCATAGTCTTAGGCTATGTGCATTAAGTTTGCTTCAATGTGCTTAATTGCATTTTAATTATTTACTGCTGATTTTAAGATATAAGACCAGGAAGAGAGGCCATTTCCTACATACTTAGCTTAAACTATGAAGTGTGTCATATTCAATATTCTGTGTCCTTCAGACTAAGGCAGGGCTATATTTTGTCTAATAGCATAATCTACTATACTTACGTTTGTATCCCTCTTAGTATTAGTTATCTAAATACTAAAATATGAAAACTCATAAATACTAGGGTTTTAATAACATAATTATACAAACAACCACTAAATTTAATTTTTTTTTTTTTACCATGAGACCTAAGTTGTCTGACGTTACTGATTTGTTTCAAGCTTTTCTTCAAGATGTTGAGTTGATCGCCTATAGGTGCACAAAGTGGTGGTATTTACATAAGGAGAAAGAGATCTAATATCCAAAGATGGCTTTACTCAAACTCAAGTGATAGAAGTTGCTGATCATAAGAAAGCAAATGTGAAAATGACAATTCTTCCACATATTGAATGTATACTGTAGAGTATGTGCTTCAGGCATTATCTTTAAACTTCATTGCAATAGAGTTTTACAGGTGAGGGAAGCAAAGTACAAGATAGAGAATACCCAACTCAACAAGCTAAAAAATGGCAGTCAAAACAATTTTTGTTTGATTTTAAAGTCCCACTTTCCATGAAACTGAACAACCCCTATAATTCCACCCAGCCCCTACAGTAATTTTTATGCTTTTCCCAGTGCTGTCACATAATAAATATTTTACATATTTGTTGCTGAAATAGCAATTAAAACAAGTGTTTATCATTATATTCACATGTATGGCCAATGGGAATTTCTGCAACACACAAAAATCTGAAAGACACGAAATTTTTGTTACTATAAACATAAATCCTGCCTATTCTTTCCTGAGAGGTGTGATATAAAATATTTAAACTTGCTTATTGAGAATAAAGAAGTTTTCTGCTCAGCTTTGAATCAATTCCAAACCAGAGAAACTCTTGTGTTGCGGTTTGCAACAAAGTGCTGAAATAATACATGTCCCTTGCTAGACTGTAAACCGCAGTCCCTTCATTCAGATGACCTCAAGGTCTGACCAGTGAGTACTCAGCTGCTTCTTCCGGTTACCTTTTTATGCTGGCTGGTCCTTAATATAGCTAATGCTCCCCAGATGTATCAGCCACTGGCCCTCTTTAACCCTTGCTGGTCTCTCATGTTGCATTGCCTGCTTTTCACAGTCACAAGATGAAAATGGAGAAAATAGCACATATTTTCAGTGCCCTGGGGGCATGGCAATGACATGTAGGAAAACCTACCAAATGAATGGGTTTTTATTTTAAAGATTTGAATTTTGATAATTTTAAGATTATATAAAAAGAGAGAGAAACAGATAATAAACCACCTATAGGCCATTATCTAGCTTCAGCAAA